TAAACGGTAAAGCGATTTCATAAAGCATCGAGAGAGCCGGAACGACCCGTGCTGTATTCAATTCTAGATGCAAAGTAAATACTCGTCATACAAAGGAAGTTCTTTATTACAAAGTTTATTTACCCCTAGCAGTCTTCGTTTCAGCAATAATGATCAAATCGCTATAGGAAATCAATCTTTGCCTGCTTTACAATTAAACGTTTTTATTGGAAGCGTTCTTCGAATGTCTGAAATATAGAAGAAAACATTTAGAGAAGATAATAAAACACAGAACACACACGCTAGTTTCGCCTCTACTTCGATAGATCCTTCGATCGAGGAAGAAAATGCTCATTGGCGAACGTTGTGTTGTCATAGTCTGACGGAAGGTTGCGGCCGCTCTGGCAAAGCAAACTAAGAACAAAAACCGTAAGAATTACAAATAACGACGCTTCATCGTCAGCAGAATCATCTTCGTCATCAACACGATCATGGCCATGACCACCAGCTATCAAAAGCGGTAGCAAAGGCACTTCGCTCTTCAATGGCATCACCATACCGGTAAACGTTATTACTATCTCTTCCATCTCACACAGGAATATTACGTATGTCTTCTGTGTTAATGCGTGGGTTTGAGTTTGAATAACCAGCAGACCCAGCCGACGAGTTGGATCGCCGCGGCATCAACAGGTCGCACGGGATGAATTCAGTCGTCGGTAATTTTATGCATGTATGTATGTATGTATGTATGTATGTATGTATGTATGTATGTAGGAACCGAGTGTCGTGCTAAGTCGAATCCGAAACCGTCACTGCCGTCATGACTCTGACTTGGTCAAAAGGGACCACCAGCCATCGAGGATCAGGCAACAAAGGATGACGATTTTACCGGGCTGCTTGTCCGTCGATGGCGACTGCTCGTCCAGCGGAATGATGCGACCGTTGGCGCACGCGCCGCTCAACGATTCGGTGGTCGGACGTTTGGTCAGATCGATAAAATGCGCAAAACAGAAATAGTTCAGACGGAAAATAGCGAACGCCATCGTCGATGATTGGCGCGGGAACTGCCTCAGATACCTGCTATAGCGGCCACAGGCGCGGCGGCGGCGGTGGCGGCGGCTGCTATAGATATAATAAAGGAACAAAATCGCTTATGTAGAATAACGTTTCAATGAATCTCTAGCAACCGCCGCTTGTCTGCTGGACATAATATAATCGTATAGAACAATAGTGTCGTTGTCAAATGAGTGTACGCACAAAAAAAAAAATGGCAAGGCACTGACGAACGAATTTTTCGTCTAACCAGCTTCTAGCTGCAAGTCGTCATAGTTAGTATTGCTGCACCCCCGTGGACGGGGATTTGGAGAAGAACGAATAGATCACGCTAGCCAGACTAATCAAGTGAAGAACTGCTATGAAGAATGGGAAATGAGTCAAGTGGTGAAATGAGCTTCATTGGAACTGTTAAAACAGATCAGGAATAAAACAATGAATGGTCAAGAAGAGTAAGCGTTTCTCGTTGTGTATAATGTTCATTTTAACAGAAATCCGGTGAAAAGAAGGTTCATTCACTCTCAGAATATAACAAAGGGTTTTGCTGGCAAAAAAAGCTATTCTAACCGTCTGGCGCTAAAGTGGCGGTCTTTGCTGTTGAATCGTTTCAAGTTCCCCCGAGTAACGCTTTTGGGTTTACCCGTTTTTTAACCCTTGTTTCGAAATCGCGTCACTCATTGTCACGGAAGAACTTTGATTAGTCTGTTTATTAATTGTCGTGCCTAAGATAATTAATGTTATTACAACAGGTGTATTCAGCGGGCTGGATTCCGTCGTGTCTCTAGCGAACCATATTTGAACCGAGCTGCGGTCGAACGCAACGGTTCGAGCACTTCGAGGCCGATAGAGAAAAAGTGCGCTTACTATAAAACTGTCTCCGATGTCTGGCCTAGGAACGCTGTTGGTCAGGGGAAGAACTGTTTCTTCACAGTGACGTGGTATGGTGGGATGTCGTTGTTTAGGTGCGTGTCCATGCTCGTTTACGCGCCGTCAGCCGCGGCTTGTCGCTGGTACTCACCTGCTCGTGTAGGGACGAAGTCGGGTGTCGAAGCCTTTTCTCCTGACTTAAACTGAATCTTCCACATGATCTCTTTGGCTGTACCGTACGAATAGTCCACAGTGTTACCACGAATGAAAAGCTCTTTTTTACACCCTCAGCAAAATATACCACTGACTATAATAAACATATCTGTCCATTTGATAACTTTACGTAAACAAAATGGTTTTATCCGAAACGAATTAATTGTGCGACAAACGTGTCAGTAAATCTAGAGCTTTTCCTGCTATTTCATAGTACCTTGTAGACCCGCTCTCCTAAGCGTATCGCCGTTCCTGGGAAATTGCAAGAAAAAAAACCAATAGCGGTTTTGCCGAAAAATAAGTGATCTCCCAGACGGTCTAGGAGCTAAATCCGGCCAATTCATGCCATCGTTCCCTCCCCGTAGAATTCCTCGTGCATGCAGGAAAAGGCAAAGCACTAATTGAACTGAAACTGAATAGGTACTAAAATTGAATTTCTCCACTGCAAGGAGAGCTTCTGTCTTTCGGATCTGCATCAGGTTCTGAAGAAATTAATTTTTCCGGAATTTGTTATTTTATATATTGTCATAAATAGGTTACTGACAAAGAACAACCAAATCCGAAATTTAATTGCAAGACTTCGCCAAAAGCGAGTCTATTTACGCTGTCTGATAATTCACAAACTGTCTTCCTCCTTCAAGATGTCATCGTCACTATGCGATGCCGGCCAACCTGAGGCACTGTTGGCCTTCGTTCGAAAAACACTGTAGTTTCAAGTATGCAGTATTATCAACGTTGTTGTTACTAGAAAAAAATGTTCCGACTGGGACGGAGGAAGGAAGAGGGCAGTTGACCCTATGGTCGTGTAGTGGCCTCAGAGGGATGTCGTCTCCAGAGAGGATGGAGTAGTCAGTTTCAGATAGAAAAGCACAGATGACAGTGACGCCTGCGGCAAATATTGGATTCACTTGGCAAATGATTTCGACTCGTATGTTATGAGCTTGGGTTCTGGGTTCATTTGACGTCTTTGAAGGCTTGTTGTTGAGCTGAGGCAGAAAGGGTAGCGAGGATCGGCACCCTTTGCTTGTTAGCATTATTGTTTTAACCAGTTCTTGGCCGATCCACTGCGTCCTACGTTAAAAGATATGCGAGTGTTTTTGGCACCGGTCAGAGACGTTCGTTTACTTACACGCATAAAATGACAATAAGATGATCCCGATTCGTTCGAGGAAGAAAGGGGGGAGCGAACGTTGATGGCATTATCCTGCTTATATGTGGTGTCGTTGACAGACTATTAGCGAACTAGTCAACCAGAGAATCGAAGCCAACAAAGTCACACAGGCATAGCAAATTCGTTACTCAGCCAAAACCATCACGTTCCATTGAAAAGAGGACGGACATTGCTTCTTTCGATACGAGTCAGCTCTATCCTGGCAGCAATTCGATACGGTACTTGCCCTTGAGGGCGTCTCGATTGATTGAGCCTATTGCGCAACATGCAACGTTAATCGGCGAAGAAGATCGGTGCAGGCGGAGGACGAAAAGGGGGACGATCTCGTCAAGAGCGTAACGCTCGGCTGCTAGAAGATTCGCTGCGCCTGTTGTCATCTGCAGTGAAGTGAGCGTCCGTCGATGTGTGCACGAGCGGCATCAATTGTGTTCATCTCTGGCGACGTAGGGTTCAGCCGCGCTCTTCTTTGCTTGCCTACTGGCGTTTACTGTGACACAGCCGACGCCGCCGACTTCACCGCATTGACTGATGGTGGGCTCACCTCACACACCTCTGTCTATTCACACTCTGTTGTAGGGGTTGTTCGGGTTTTGTTTGGGTTCCGCTGTAGCTGACTTATCGCTGCTGCTACGCTCACAATCGCCGTGTTTTTATGTTTGCCGCTGTTGTCGATAGCTTTTGCGGTGTAAGCGACAAGTTTTCGCATGATCTCTGTTGGTGTGTGGTCCTGAATAGGTTCGAAACCATGTAACAACTGGCCTTCCCCAAAAGCAGAATATTGCATAATGTCGATGACTATAGATCGAGCAAGAAAAAAGCGTCTGCTCCATGGGGTTGTTTGCCAGTGTATGCGCACACATATTTATATGCGGAGTTATAGTAAGATGGCGCAACTTGCCACGTTAGTTGGTAATTGTTGTTAGGCCACTCATGTGGCATTGCGCGACGTCTAACGATAATAAGCGCATGTGGTAAGGCACAAGGTGGAGTCCTCGCGAAATATGAGGGGGTAACAAAGTTACAACTGGAAGTTCATTGTAGAGCTTTGCGACTGTTTAGCGGAGGAACAAGGTTTTAATAGATACAGAGGAGGAGGCGATGAGAAGAGTGCGAGCGAAAATTATGTTTCGCTCACCTGAGCTAACTGAATTCCGCCGCCGCAGCCTTAAAAGGTGATACTGCTGTCAAGGTATTGACACGCATAATTTGCCCAATCCCTACACTAAAAGAACTGAAATAATCTGCGCTTTTTGCGAGCATGACGAGGTGTCTGGGCGTGTGAAACTTCGGAAAAGACTGTGTAGAGCTAGTGTATCAGTTGCAGGTATTTGCACCTCACCAAGGCATCGAAGGACTTCGAGGACTCGATACCGAGAAGGGGGATACCGTTATTTACAGGCGCGACGGATCTGTTAGAAACGTTCAGAGACTGTGCATCACTGACGGCGAATTTGGCCGATCGAGGGGGTGAAACGGATTGGGTTTTGCTGTCGTGACTCTTTTTATGTATTCACAATTGTAGTTCGATTTAAATTTGATTGCATAGCTGTTTTTTAATGACGAATAATTTAGAATTTTGTTTATATTATGGAACATTTTCTTCTTCTGATTTTGATCAGGCTGATTATCGAAGGATCCGAATCTGGGCTGCAATTGCATGAGCAAATGCGCATATTCCAGCTAATATCATGTCTCTCCGTTCGTTCTCGTCTTTTAGTTGGAAGGTACGTGGCACGCCGCTACTCTCAACGACGTGATGGAGGCCGAAATCAAGCCTATTGACTTCGACTTCAAACAGGTAAAACACATAGCCGAGATATAAGTAAATATGTGTGTGTGTGTGTGTGTGTTTCTCGAACTAACGGGCGTGTCAAGTATCGGCGCATGTGGAATCAGTCGACATTGACGAACTGTTGAAAATACTCATTGATAAAGGAACATTTTCAAGAACTGTAATGTAACCTTTAGTTGAAAGGACAGAGGAGCCGTTAAAAACAGCAGTACGAACATAAGACAGCACCGGAATAGGTCAAATTAAGCTTATGTTTTAGAGCGAGCACCATCGAGGGACCATATTTAAATAAATGGGAGAGCTTAATTCTTTGAATGAATTCGAGTCGTATGGTGCCTCTATCACTACGAAATAGACGAAAAAAAAAGAAAACAAAAACGTACGCCATCCATGCCTGCTATCACGCTATTTCTATTCACATTTAGGAGAAATAGTACGACCACTGTTCAGTATGGATAATTTGTTTAGCGCCTCATACATAAACACGCAGGTCTGATTAAGTGAATCATTTACACTGTACATCGGCCAAGTCAAGCTTAACACTTAGCACGATCTCGGGGCCAGCAGCCAAACAGCCACACCCACCAGCCCCGTCCGGATGGTCAAACGTTATGGCTAGACGAAGCTTACGATGTGCTCGTCTCCAAATAATCATAGCAAGACGGACTTTTCGATGCCCCGCACTACTGTCATTTCCAAAAGTAACAACAAATCAAAGAAGTGAAGCATGGCAGCGAGGTCCCGACATATGTACCTGCACCTTTCACTGCAACACTTCTTTGACTAGAGCACACTTAACGCTGCATATTGAGGGCTGAAGTCAGTGAGCAATGCTGGGGACAGCGCCAATAATCCCAAAAGTTTTTGCGCCATTTCTGCACCTCCTACAGAAGCGCCGGTCGGCTTCTTCTGGTTCAGCGGAATCGTCGTCGAAGTCACGTACGTACGTACGTACGTACGTACGTACATTGTGGGATGATGTCCGATGTGTGGGTGAGCGAAGTTCATGTGTCTCGTTAAGCCGATGATTCTTTTTTTTTGTTTTTTTTTTGCTTTTTTTTTATGGCTACATTTTTAGTCCATCTGTTTTTCTGACTGAAACGAAAATAAAGCGGAGGTTGAAGCGTAGTAAAACTATCGCCAATTGTGGCCAATCAGGAAGGAAAAATGGAGCTAGATTTACGGCTATCGGTTCGAATGGCTCAAATCATATCTGGTATCGCACAACATATTAAGGCTAACTAGAACTCCACTCGTAAGCTTCATGCGGTGCTTATTTTGCTATTAAACATGTGGCATTTTATTTATATAGAGATAAAGAGTTAACTGTACGAATAGTCTGTTCGTTAAAACTATAACTTACTTAAGCATTTTTTTCATAAAGTAGTTTTAGTTGCAGTTTATCATGCAACATGCGCGGACGATACTGATAACCACCCCAGTGTCTATAAACACCATCCCGGTGTGGCCTTGATTTCAGAGATGAATAATGAGAAAAAAGTTATTGCCACCATCTTATGAGCAATTAAATTAAATTAACAAAAAAATAACGGACATTACGCTCTGGAGAAAAGATCGCGCAGATCTCCTCAGGGTGTGTCTCTAGCGACACGCGAAAGTATTCACCTAGTCCTATTACCTTTCGTTTTAGGTCCGAGAGGCAGACAGATGGGAACAAGCTTTAGCAAGATCTTTTTCTTTTTCTTTTCTTTTAGCTTCAATAGCTAACCCGTTAGACATTACAGGAGCTTCAAAAGAAAACACAAAATTAAGTGTCTACGTTCGGATTCGAACGTAGCATGCCGATTCGTTGCCTACTGGGATGTCACGGAGGTCGAAAGTCCAGCAGGACTAGAGAGATAAATAAGATTGCAGTATCTATTTAAGACCTGATTCAAATTCTGCCAGTTACATAAAAACATTATGCAATTAATATGAATAGAAACAGTAATCCATTTTATTTATGTACACTTCTACTACTTGTTGAATTATGTCTAAGATCCTCGATATTGATATATTATGGGCTATGCATAGAGAGAATTTTTAGTATAATGTCTTTTTCGGTAACAATAGCTATTTTGCTTACATTTAGGCTCGTTTTAATTTAAACACTTGTAATGTTGACTTAGGTTTTGTTTGTAATAGGGAAAAATGTTAAAAGCAGCGGAAGTTTTCAGTAAGCGTACACGTCCTGAAGCTTCGTTATTATAAAATTGAGCGGGAAAGAACAAGCAATATGCGCGTTTACACTGGACCCTATGCAATCGCGATCTTCACCGTGCTTATTTCCCTTAATTAAACTTCATAATGTAAACACCCTTCTTATCGTATTGCTGTCATTCTCTATCAGATGTTTTGACCAGCGTTTGCCACAATTTAGCACGACTTCGTTCGCGGACTAAAGTATTACTTTGCTTTCGCTTTAGTGTTTTTGAACTTTTCGTTTCTTGGTCGCTCCGTCTGATAACTATCTGGGCTGCTGCGCTTAACTGGGTAATTGCATTAATTTTTTGACTTTTAACCATGCACAAACACACACACGTACCCGAAATGAGAACCCGAATTGCATCCATTCGTAAAAACATAAAGAGTAGTAGCAGCAACAATATTATAAGCACGTACCCATTTAAATCCGACATAACCAGTGGGCTTGGAGCACTGGCGTTTCAAACCCAGTGTTTACTGACTGGCAACTCCGATGCGATGCCTCGACCAGAACTCAACCGTAGAGTAGAAAACAAATAAATTTTCTCTTCTGTTGCCTTTACTTCCGCTAACGTCCATCAGTTTTCGCTCCCTCTGAATCATTCGTCTCGGGTGATCCACCCAACTTCCAAATGGGCGTTTCAAATTTGCCCGCTGTTTCTTTGTACCGTTTTGTTTCCTAACTAATCTTGCCGTATATTTTTGCCCCCATGCCCTTCTTATATCGCTAGATCATACCATAGTTTGTTCACCCTCACGCGACGCCATCCTCGTAAACGTCCCGGCCTGCGCCGTGGGTACGGTTGCTTCTACTGCCGCCGTTGGTAGCATCGCGATTAGCGGGCGCTTCGACGACGACAGCGGCGAAAACGACCGATGCGCAGCGCTGTAATGTTACAACAATTCAAGTCGGCCGCCAGAACGCACAACGCGAGCTGAGCTTTTTGCGGGAGAGTTACTCTCTGTTACATTATTTTACTATATCTGATGCGACTCTTAGCTAGCATCTATAGCGGGCTGAAACTTTCGATCTCTCATTCTCGTTTGATCTCAGTGTTTGTTTAATAGCTTTGTGTTTCTGCTCGCTTTACCTTGCCAATGAATGATCAGTCGATGGTCAGTCTCTCAGAGTCAATGTTCCGAGGCCTCTGCCCAGTTTTGCTTCTTGCTCGATCCTATCGGTAGACGCAATGCTAACTTCCTGGCAAGAAGAACAAAGGACCTATGACAACCCATTAGATGTTAGGTATGGCCTCCGTAGAAACGCGCAGTAAGGCTGCAATTGAAAAGGATGAAATCGTAGATTGAAATGAAGACGCCAAGCAGAACATGCGGTTTTATTGTACCATATGAAACTGTGTGTCTTGCCGTCTGTGTGGGGGACGCTTCACTCGTTCATGGCCAGCATGTAGTATGTGTGCGTGTCTATTTGTGTTGAGTTGACTGCATATTAAGCGCCGTCCTTACTTTCCTTCGCCACATGACGACCTTTAGCGTGTATTAGTCTCATTAATACATCTTGTCCGTGAACAACTCTTCATTTCCATGTGATGATCATTGGATTTTGAACTTTTCGCCTGTCGGAGGGAAGTTATGCCTAGACACACAACAACGGAGTTCCGCCGAAAGCAACCCCTCACAGAAAATAGTGCCGAATAGAACGCGTATTGATCGTTGGCGAGGTGCAAAACGGTGTGGCACAATTGTAAATTCCCATATATAGTCCATGCTTCACTTGAAATGGCGGAACAGTGAAAGGGGGAGGCAACGATGCCACATTATGGTTCGGTCTACGCCATCTGTACCTGTTTAGGTTGGATATGTCTACCGGTTAGTGGTTTAATTGCTTGTTCATATTAGTAGGTAAATGCGTACATAGGTAAAGCTTTACGGATCGATCTTCTTGCCATTGCACATACTCTTACTACTATGACACGTCGGGATTTTTCATTGAGCTTTTCCGTTGTGAGCTGCGCGTCCGTATGACTTTTGCCACGGCTATCCACTGGGCCGTACCTCACGTTTGGTTTTCGATCGGTCACCACTTGCAATCGTCGTCTTCATTCGAAACGATCACCATCCGTCTCCAATCATAATCAGCACTTCTTCCTATTTTGGACATAATGATCCGAGATCCGAGCGCAGCAAGACATCGGCAACAGCCCATCAAATACTCGTTTAAATAGGACATTAAAAAATAGGACAGTCATCTACGGCTGATTTTCTGATCTTATTTTTACCGACACTGCGTTTGTGTCACCTTCCTCGATATTTTTCTTGCTCTCGTTGCCCACTATATTAACTAGTCTCGTTTTTACCATTTAACTCTATTTACATTCATTAAATCAGCCATAGCGTTTGAGTAGGCTACTATCGGAAGTGCTTTCATCTTCGAAGCTCCTGTCGACTCCTGCTTCACGGCATCGAACCACCAGCCGCGTCCTGACAGCAACAACAACAACAGTAATCGAGCGAAGTAGGACCACCGATAAGAATCAAAATGATGATAGAAAATGAATGCGAATGCCGACAAGCGTGACTTGTATGTGGGCGGGGGGCTGTCGTGTGGGCAGAGCAGCGACAATATACGAAAGACATAGGGCTGATCCCGTATGCACCTATTTTGGGTTGACAACTTTTGAAGGATTAGTGTAAGGTTAATGTAGGAGTGAAAGCTCTGTATAATAGGACATACCGATAAAGGGCAACATCGCGGTGGACGGCATTTTGAGTTGTAATAAATAGTTGGTAAATGTGTGCTCAGTGTAGCTAGACCTATTTATTGCCTAACACAACAGGTA